CAGCATGCCCTTCACCCGGAGCTACGAGGCCCCATGTCTGGAGCCCATGCGAAATCCGACCCGGTAACGGGTGACGTTTACAACTTCAACCTTGAGTTCGGAATGACACCGACGTACCGAGTGTTTACCGTGTCTCGGTCAACTGGCAAGACGTCTATATTGGCGACTATAACGGATGCTACCCCGGCATATATCCATTCGATCTTTCTAACGGAGAACTACGTGGTTCTTTGTGTGTGGAACTCCTTCTTTGTGGCCAATGGTATGAAGATCCTGTGGACTAGAAACATTCTAGATGCGCTTGGGGAGTACGATGCATCTCGTCCTGCTAGGTGGTATGTGATTGATCGCCGGACTGCTGAAAATGGCGGCAGGGGACTGGTAGCCACGTTTGAGAGTGATCCGTTCTTCTGCTTCCATAGCGTGAATGCATATGAAGTGCCATCCCAGGCCGGGCCAGGAACCGATATTATAGCAGACTTGGTTGCGTATGACAACCTCAATGCCCTGAAGTGTTTCTACCTGGACAATCTTAAGTCGAATTCACCTAATGCAGGCAAGACAAAGGCGGCGAACGAGTTTTCATCTGCCCTCGTGAGATATCGTCTGCAGAATATATCGCTGGAGGCCACCCCAGAAGCTGCACAAACAGCTAGAAAGGCTGTTCTCGAGCACAAATCTGAGCCGATCCAGTCGCCGGAGCTGCCAACGATTAACCAACGTTTCATTACTCGGCCACATCGGTATGTATATGCAGTGAACTTCACAGGATCATCTACATTCTTCGACGGACTGGTGAAGATGGATACAAAAACACACGAAAGCAAGTTCTGGTCTCGTCAGGGCCAAAGTGCAGGAGAGCCAATTTTTGTCCCACGAACTAAGGGTCCACTGGTGGATGTTTTAGCGGGGGACGACGGCTCTGAGGAGGACGACGGAGTGTTGCTGTCTGTTGTGCTTGATGGACTATCGGGGAACTCCTACCTGCTTGTGCTTGATGCAAAGACTATGACTGAGGTAGGCAGGGCAGCGCTCAATGGTGCTATTGGCTTCGGGTTCCATGGCATACATGTTCGTTCGAGCGAGCAGAGAGGAATCGACTTCTAGGGTGGCTCCATTTACCTGGTGTATTTTTTATTCACAGATATCCACGTCTAACTCCTAATGGTAATATTAAACACATGAATAGTGGGTATTGTATGCAAGTCTCCCAGTCGAGAACCATTCAATCCAAACAGGCTATGCATTATTAAAATCTATCAGAACCGTAAACTCGTAAATAAAGGGTATCATTTCCTCCATGAGTCTCGTAGGATGACAACTTCATCCCAGATATTTTCTCTTGCTCGTTCCCGTGTGAGACCACGGCGAATCATGTCATCATATTCGGTATGGACATGTCTGATATGGGCTTCAACTGCCAGCCTGACCTTGTCTTTCTCACTGGCAATCTTGCCACTTCTTCCGACTCGTCTTGATCCCTTGAGAAAGGCGTGATTGAGAACCGCTGTGAGATCTGATTTGGGCATGTTAGGGAACTCCTTAAGCAGCAGCTCCCGTGCCTTCTGTCGATCCCGGGCGTCCTTCTGAGCCACGGCCTTTTTGCGGTCTTCGGATGTCTCCTTGGACTCCAGCTCAACGGCTGCTTGCACGCTGGCCGGGACGTACAGGCCGGTTTGCTTATAAGTTGTGGAACACTGGGCAACGGGTTAGAACCATCAGTTTGAAGCTCAAAGGGGTGTGTGCAACTATGGAAGCCTTACGTAGATTGTATACACGGGAGAGCCGAGATCGTGTGTCTGTGACCGGCATTTCCTAGTGATATAGATATTTCCCTTGGGTACAAAGACGTATCCTGGTGGTATGGGCTGGTTATCAAGAAGAATCTGACAGCTGTTAGTCCCTGTATAGGTGTATAAGAAGGAAATTCACGGGCCAACGGCCAACGTACATCTTCAGGCACAAATCCATGGGCAGTCTTTGAGTAAGAGATATCTCTAAGCTTGTCTTTCAGTGCCTTTGGCATGGGCTTTGCACGCTTGCTGGCCCCTTTTCGAATCCCTCCAGCCCCCCTTTTGGCCCTGGACTGGCGTTGCTGCCGCTGCGGTTTGCCCATCTTTGGGCGAGAGAAGCTGAACTTGCGGGCTAGATAGGAGGGAAGAGAAGAGGAAGAAGAGCAGCTCAGCGAATAACTGTCATGAAGAGAGGAAGAGTGTCAATGTCATGGTCCCTTGCAGCTGGTCAGCTTGAGAAGATGGCTGCCTCGACGTGGACTTGTAGACTTGTAGTTGGTTACTAGGAAGATGAAGAAGACAAAGATAAAGCTGTGTTGTGTTGCTTTGAACAACAACACAACACAGCAACCAGCCACCTAATTAACTAACTGCTTAGATGCAGGGCCATCAGGACGATATCTCGCCTTCATGATAGTTGACCACGAGGATTGATATCCATCTACTGACTACTCGATAGAGACTCGCGCGTGGCTGTATCTCTATGGCTTGGATTGGCCGACTTCTCTTCCTTCCAGCAGGCAACGCTGCTAACTACAGAGTACCTCGATCAACGAGCAGCAAGCGAATATCTTGTCAGCTACTTGACTACAGCTTCATCATGACGTCTGCCCAGCGGCTAAAAACCTCGTTCATGTCCAGTCTCGCCGCAGTTTGAAACTAATCCTGCGCCATCGGCTTGTCCGTGGGTGGTTGGGAGACATAACAACGACGCCGTACAGACCGTGAACCGGCACGCAGTTACATATATTAGAGTGAGCCTCAGGCCGCCGCAGTTATATTAAGGCTCGTCCTTGGACGGAGAGACGGACATTGACCGCAAAGACCGCAGAGGAGACGGCGTTGCACAGCCAGGAGATCTGCTCGGTGACCTTGGCCAGCCAGCCCTAAACCACGACTAGTGAGCGAGTTGGCGAGACTAACAGATGCAAGGAATCCAAAGGATGAGCTGATGGTTGCTTGCCAATAACAACTAGTCAATCGATGCCTGCATGGGCATCCCTCTCGTGTCGACGGAGCAGGGCCATGGAAGCGGCACGGATGGGAACGTCGGCGTCGCCTAGGCAGGATGGCATCGCCCCCTGGACAATAACTAATCAACATAAAGACACCCAGAGGGGCGCCTAGCTGCCACCCAGAGGACATTCTCCGGCCCTCCTCTCTTTCGATGGGGTAATAGGGTCCCTCTTTTTCTCAGGAACACCCGGCAACAGTGAGGAGATTTTACGGCTAAGCAGCTTTAATTAATTAACTACGGAGTAATGAACCGCGGACACACGACAGAGGGGGAGACAAGCAGCTGAAGCGGGTTCCATCCAGCGAGCTCCTGGCCAATTCCGAGGGCGCAAACAATCCAATCACCGGCTGGGGGGCCAGGGGTGCCAGGGGGGCATACCACCTTACTTAACTAGCTTACGATATAAATTTCTCCTGTGGAGATCCGAGATCTTCAAGCTCTTCAGCAAAGGAAGGGAGACAAAAAAAAAAAGGAAGTGCGACTTCTCGGCTGCAGGCACAGAGCGGCGTGCATGCGGTGCTATGTTTACGCCGTCCCTGAGACTGAGCGAGAAAGTGCTGTGTGCTAGTTATGATATGCATCCGTCGAATACAAGTTAGCTGGCTGATCCAGGGGTCGACGGGGTTTCTGGTTTGCAGCTCAACTTCTTTGATCGATCCCAAAACGGACTGACCCCTCGATGGATGGACCGGCCAGAGCCAGTTTAAACTAGCTTTAACTAACTACCTGTTGGTTGACTGGTTTGCTCCCGTACCAGTGACCAGCTTCCCTTCTCCCCTCCGTTATGGCTCTCGAGGGGGTAGATGGCCGTACATATACTTGCAGCCGCACGTCAGAACTGGTACAGCCACCAAGGTTGAGAAGGTAGAGGTACTTCTGGCTACAACCACGCATGCTGGTTCCATCCGTTGGTGGCCTACCAAAACGCTGCCCACGAAGAAGCTTTTGGGCCTTTCCTGGTTCTCGAGATCTCTATCTACACGACTATTATCTACCGAGCCATCTATCTGATTTCTCCAGCCTTGGACAGGGCAAAAGGGGACCGGGGCGGGTGTGACAGAGGGCAGGCCGGGCGCTCTCAAGAAGTGGGCATCCATGGAATGGGACGGACGGAGCTCTTCCTGCACTCGCATTCCCACTGCGAGGGTTAAAATTAGGGAAGACGCAGAAGAGGCAATGCGGCAGACGACGAGCCCGGATAAAAGACGTGCCTCCATCGCATCTTGCAGCCTTTATTGAAGCATGGGCCGGTGTCTTTATATATACATATATCCATATATAAATATATATATCAACTCCGTAACCAGCTAGCTAGTTATACGACGGCGTCTTTCTTTGACCGTTTCAGCTTTGCCTAACTACAAACTAAATGAATAATAACTAAACAACCAAGTAATTTGTTGCTTAAATATATATATTTCTTTTCTTTTCTTCTTGCCTGTGCTGCCTGATCGATCATCCCTGGCCGTCGCTCTCTGGTTGCCTGGCCTTCTTCTCGTCTTTCGTCTTCGCCTTCGTTTCTTCTTCACGCCCGGCATCGACCTCGTCTCGACATTTTTTTTCCTTGTCTCGACTGCTCCCTTTTCTCCCTCGCTCTCAAGTCCGAAGAAAGACGGGCAAGGGGCCAACGGCTTGCTGCAAACGAGGTGATATCCCCCCTGGCTGCTCTAACTATCTGCTTAGTCGCCCCGTTAATGGTAGAGACTTGACTGGCTGACTGCTCCCTAGGGCTTTTTTTTTTTCCCATCCTTCATCCGCTGTGTTTGTCCCTGACTGGCTTTTCGACCTCCCACCTCCGAACGACGACGACGGCCACCCGCGAACGAGGCAATAAAAAGGGACCGCCAGAGACGGTACAGACGGTAGAGACGGGCTTGAGCTTGACCTCCTGGGAGCGTTGTGCCGGTGCTTGTCGGGGCCTCGTCTGCCGCTCGTCTCGCCTGATGCTGCTCTGGGCGTAATCTGCTGCTATGAATTGGGACTACCCTATCCACAGGTATGTCCGACATCTGCCCTCTTCGGAGTGACGGGAGACAAGGGGGCGAAGGGGAGTGGAAAAATCCATGTCTTGCAGACGGATAGACGGATTCTGACTCTCGTTTCTTTTCATTTCACCTTTACTCACTTCTACAGCTTTACGGATCCTAATGTTGAGCCTCAAACGCCCACGAGAACGCCCACGACCAGCTCGTTTGAGACCCCGAAGCTTGAGTCCAGCTTCTACGACCCGCGGGTGACATGGAACACTGCAGACCCCTATGCCTCCAGCCCGGAGCTGGTCAAGTTTCCTCCCCGCTTTGACCTGGCCTCGCCGTCTCCCCAGCGAGGTATGTGTAAGGCATTTAGACTTTTATATTCGAATATCTCATTTCGATTATCTACAAGCCGGGCTTTTAGTACGTGTGTGCTAACTTTTGATAGGCCAATTGCCAGAGGCTGAAGGGGGAGACTCCCTGGCTTCCAGCAGCGTGAGAAAGACAAGGCCATTGAGCACCATCTTCAGCTCGGGGCCAGACATGTCGGACGGAGTCGATGCCACCAGCCGCTCGGCTGCCTCGATGCAGACCCCGCCGCCCACCAGCACCTCGAGGAGGAGGACGCTGGATGCTATGAATGTAACGACTGATGACGCCGCCACGCCCGTGCAAGACCCCAACCCAAACCGTCTCGAGACCCCCAGCCGCTTCGTCGGCCTCTCCCCCAACTTCTACGGCCTGCAGGGCACCCCTGATCTGTTCCGGGTTGCCGGTGCATCTGCCACCGAACCGTCCTTTATCCCTCGATACTCGATGCCATGGGACCAGGAGAATATCCCTCCGCCATCGGCTATGATGGATGATAACCCCTCTGCTTCTTCTTCTTCTTCTTCTGCGGCTGCTGCTACATACACCAACAATAATGGAAACTTCGACATATCCACTCAGGGTCCCCTTGAGCAGTCCGTCGAGGCATTTGATGCTGATCCAGCAAGTGAGATTGGGTTGGAGACTCCTAGGTTGCCTGTGACCCAGTCTATTGGGAGAAGACGGGTGGGTTTGGGTATTCCTCAAGACCCACGATACCTCGAGGCACAGCAAGGGGCCGGTATCAACTCTTCCTTCTCGGCTTCACCCCGTGTGCCTCTACCACCAGACGATGACCCATCGATGTTTCTCAGCTCGCCTGCTCGACGATTCGGCTTTTCTGACCCGTCATACTCATACACCCCCCATGCTCCCCGGATAGAGAACCGCCAGCCCTACCATTATCAAACGGAAGAGTCCGAGCGGGACAAGCGGGAAAGGGGGTTGTGCAAGATATCACGGACAAGAAGTGTCGGTCATCCACGCAGAACGACTGCTAATGCCGGTGTTGGTGGTGCTGCCACCAACTATGAAGACTCCTATGCTTCTCTTCCTCGGCCTCCTGGCAGACCACCGCCGAGACGGATCACGACTCATTCTGGGGCCGTATCTCGCCAAGCTTCGTTTTCATCCACCACCTCCGGCGCCCTTCCCGGAAGCGGAGTGAGGAAGACTCCCTCCAAGGGCCGCACCTCGCCGTTCAAGCAAATGCATTCTTTCCAACGATCTGCCTCTCTAGCTGCGCCAATGGAGTCTCTCGTACTCAAGGTTGGGAAGGACGGAATTGCCACGACAGAGATGAAACTGGCGGCACACTCTCAGTCTCAACTGCCGGATGTGTCCCCTGATATCAGCATCGAGGAGCTGTCCACAGAGAGTGACAGTGACATATCAGATACTTCAGAGCGCCGACTTGGCAGAGTGCGGAATCCATCGTATCATTTCCCCGATATCACGCCTCGTCGGTCCCGCATTGCTGGTACGCCCTCGTCCTCCCGTCCGCACTCCAAGTGCTCGTCTCGTTCGTCCACAGTGGGATCCTCGCATTCGGGTTACAACCCGGGCTGGACGGATACCTCTCGCGGCAGAGGCAAACAGCTCGATGCTTGGGACGGACGTCGTCGTCATTCCCGAAACTACTCGATTACCGACTCAGAGACTACCCAGGAAGATGACGAGGAGGAGGAAACTGACGATGCGGGCCATGCTCAGCATGCTCTCAAGCAGGTGCTCCAGGCACGTAAACGTCAATCAGCCGCTGCCGGTACCGCTGCCCCTAATTCTGCAACAACATCAGGGTATGCATCTGCCTCCCGAGCATCTCAGTCACTGGCCATGGCCACACTGCGGTCCTCGCCTCCGCTCGTCGGATACCCTGAGTCATCATGGGCCGGAGACTCCAGCTCGCCAACTAAGATGACTGACCCTGACACCGCCCCTACGCCCGTCGTGGAACGCCAGAGCAACCCTAGCACAGGGACAAGGTGTGTGTGTAATTCGAGGAATAACGGTGGGCACCTCATGATCCAATGGTGAGACCTCACTTCACTAAATACATATCCAACCGTCGACTGAATGACTGACTTCTTTTGGGTTGCAGTGAATCGTGCACCCACTGGCTCCATACCAGATGTGTTGGGCTTGACCGGCAGAGTCTGCCGCCCGTATACATCTGTATGTATTGCGTGCAGACTCCCGTCCGCCGGCAACGAGCTCCCGACCCGCGAGCCCGGGGTGGCCATGTCTCGTCCCCCCTCACCCACAAGTCCTACGGCTTCAAATAACAGACCCTACCTTTCCAAAACCTGCATGATAACCCGATAATCTTGCTTCGTATACTCTTCGTTTTCCTTTGTGATGCCCCCTCCCGCCCTTTTTTTTTATCAAGTACCCAGCCCGCCTTATATAACTTTTACTCATTATACCAAGCCCACCTAGATCTTCCCTGCTTGTGTGTTACAATACCCCCCCGCAAGCGTTTGCATGTGCCGACGCTGCATCCTTCTTCTTCTGTACATATCCCTTGTATCTTCCGATATTCTAACTGACCTTCTGTCTTTATCTCGGCTGTGTCTCTCTCGCCTTTTATTCCTTTGCTGTATATATAAACACCCGGACGTAAGCGTTACCTACCTAAACTCCGCATCATGTGACCCACTAGACCGAAATCGGAGACAGATAGCCGCGATCTCGAGATTAACTCGCGCCTAAATAAGCGCCGGAAGCTTTAAACTTTTTCCGGTTTTCTGCCGGCTCTTCGGCTCTTTACCCTTCACCGCCTTTCGGCTCACGTGGCCTTGGCTTAGCGCGGCTAGAAAAAGTAAAAAAAAAAAAAGCGCGAGTAAAAGCGAAAGAGCGAAAGACGCAGCAGGCGAAGACAGACAACAGCGAGAGAGAGAAAGAAAGGACAGACAAACAACCTACATCCCCGCCTCTCGCTTTCCGCCGGCCTTGCTGTCGCTGTCCTCTCCAGCCATCGCTGCCCATCGAACAGCCGAACAACCAGGAGATAACCAGTCTGTCCCGCCTGCAATCTTGAGATGGCTGCGTCGACTTCGACCTCCGGCAATCGGGACCTCCCTGCATCCAAGTATGACCTAAGCACTTACTGGGGTCGGGTTAGGCAGTCCGCAGAGCTATGCGATCCAAGGTGTGTTTTCTCTCTATGGACACATATGCGTGTATACATTTGAAGGTCTATAACCGCGCGGAGCCTTCTGTCCGCCTGGGCGGTAGGGGAGCCCTGACGGTTTTTGCCCTTTTTTGGTTGTCCCTTGTCCTGAGTCATTAATCCCGGTGTTGGTCAAGCGTCGCTGACTGGTTTACCCTGGAACCTGCGAGTAGGACCCTGTTTGTGTCTGCAGATGGCCTGGAAAACGCAAAGAAACTGATCGAGTCGTACAAGGGCGGCCAGCTGCTGTCCATGACGCCGGAGTTATGGCATGCGAAGAAAGTGGTAGACTCAACACTTCATCCTGGTACGTTGAATCGCAATCCAACTCGGAAAAGTCGGCTGTGTACGGCAACTGACATCGACGATAGATACTGGCGAACCGGTGTTTTTCCCCTTTCGCATGTCATGTTTCGTCCTCTCCAACTTGATTGTGACGGCGGGCATGCTCACACCTGGCTTGGGCGTACGTCTTCCCCTCTTTGCGTCGTTTCTTTTTTTTCCTCACGCTGTTCGGTTAAAGGATGAATTGGGGTCTAACGAGCCATTTAGACAACGGGAACACTTCTGTGGCAGATAGGCAATCAGTCACTTAACGTTGCCATCAACAATGCCAATGCTAACAAGTCCACTCCTCTTTCTACCTCTGCCATGGTCAAGTCATACCTGATGGCCGTCTCGGCGTCATGCTCAGTTGCCCTGGGCCTCAATGCGATGGTCCCACGGCTCAAGGTGGCGCCCAACACAAAGCTGATACTCGGCCGTCTTGTCCCCTTTGCTGCTGTGGCTACAGCTGGTGCGCTGAACGTCTTCTTGATGCGCGGCGAGGAGATCAGACAGGGCATTGACGTCTATCCCGCCGAGCCCAAGGACAGGAGCGCGGGCGCAGAAGTCAAGAGTGAGGCCGGCGAGGTGCAGAGTCTCGGAAAGAGTAAGAAGGCGGCTACTCTGGCTGTGGGCGAGACGGCCATCAGCCGGGTATTGAACTCGACTCCCATCATGGTTCTGCCGCCATTGATACTCGTTCGACTGCAGCAGATGCAGTGGCTCAAGACCCGGCCACGACTGGTTCTTCCAGTCAACCTAGGTGAGTTTTTTAAGACCATTTTTGTTTGTGTATACAGTACCGTGATGCTAACGCTTTACCTTGCAGGCCTAATTCTAACAACATCCATCTTTGCCTTGCCTCTGGCCCTGGGCGCGTTCCCCCAGCGCCAGGCCGTGCAGGCATCCTCTCTGGAGGAAGAGTTCTGGGGCCGTGGTGGAAGCACCGGCCTAGTTGAATTCAATCGTGGCATCTAACCGGACCACCATGCTTGACATTTAACCTTTTTTTTCATATTTTCTGCTATTTTCTTGCTATTCCCCGGGCTTTGATGACATGTGCAGAGTCTTGTTTCTTTTGAGCCTGTCTCTTTCTCTCTCTTTTCTGACTTCTGACTATGTTGTCTATTTGGGGTTCGCTGACTGCAGGCCCGGGCCAGTCGTAGCGAGGCGTCCTAGATTGTTGTCCCTTTTTTTTTACCTTTTTCATTTTGATTCCCTTCCCACCGAGCGAGTTTTGCCCCTGTCATGCTGAGCAGACAGACATGGCGGGTGGATTTCTGGCAGATTTGAAGTTTGATAGACAGACTTAGACCGCTATCCAGGTTGGTACGACCAGCCTCAGCATCATAAATGACATGATCTTGATGCCCTTATATCTAAACTCTCTGACTATAAGAGAAGAACCGAAAGGGTAGCCCCCCCGAGATATTTGCCACTCCGGGTTCTCGTGAGATATATATATATATATATATATGCTACCATACTACCTACCACTTTGAACGAGGGGGTCACCACCGGCAACGAGACCGGGTCCACGGGCTATGACGGTTATACATCACGGTCTCTGCTCTCTCTGCTGGCATAAGGCGAGCAAAAACCAGGGATGGAGCACCACCCGGTGACGCTGCCAGTCCATGTGACGGCGCTGTCCCTGCTGGTTCTCCGTCAGTCTACGACGACCGAGATCAGCCTGGCGCTGCCACTGGGCCCTCGACTTTGCCGTACGACGTGGACGGAGGTGACCTGTGGCTGTGATCAGTCCGTCGTCTCTTTGGTACTTAGCTAGAAAGACCTAGCCCTCGTAGTCCGTATACTCACTAGCTAGTTACCACCTTATATACCACCACGCCGAGCAGGGCATCCCTTCTGCTCCAGACAGTAGAATAAAGGCCTCCTCGCCATCCTCGTTGTTATTATCGTCATCGTCCTCATCATCCTCGTCGTTGTCCTTGTCGTTGTTATTATCTTCGTCGTCGTCGTCAAGTTGAGGTGCCTTTTTCTGCCGCGTCTCCCAAAACGGGTTGCCGCCTTCGACGTCAAAAGAGGAAGAAAAAAAAAAAAAAAAACTCCAACTCCAACAACTTCGCAACTTCGCAACTTCAACAACACGAAAAGGCGACGACGACGAGATCTTGACCGTCGAGAGTCGCTTCTGCGGCCTTCATGCTCGCCCTGACGCCCCGATCTCCGCCGCAATGACTGACTCTGCCCGTCTCCCCCGCCTGTGAGCGCCGCCTTTGAGTCCTTCAGGGTCGCCCTTTGGGACCGTCGGCCCTGCTTTTCCTCCCTCTCTGCCACCGCCACCAGCCAGACCAGCGCTCCCCTGACTGAGGGCACAGCGAGCGAACCAGCGAGACAGAACACCGCAGACACAAGGAAAAGCTAGAGAAAAAAAAGAGACTCCCTTCGTCATCCTTCTCGAGAGAGACCATCGTCAGGCTCGTTTTCACTTTGCTTGACTCCCTTTCGACCCCAAAGTGTTTTTTTTCCCCTTCCTGGCGTTGGTGTCGTTTCGGCCGTCGCATCGACCACACACAACACCCACACCCACAGCCTACGACCGGCCTCTTTTCCTTCTACGCCTTTCTCTTTCGCCTTCGCCTTCGAACGGCTGCTAGATCCTGCCCTATCACTTTATTCTCACTTCTTCTTCTTCTTCTTCTTCTTGCTCCTGGGGTTTGTCCTTTGTCGATTCATCGTTCCCCTTCAGCCGCGGGCCTTGGGTGTGTGTGTGTAGACCCTGTTGTCACATCGCTCCCTGGATCTCGCCAGAAGGAGAGAGAAAAATTATACCACCCCGTTTTCCGTGGCCGGCAGCTCCGGTTTTAGGGGGAACTTCGCCATGTCGACCCCTTCTACTGCTACGGCAACCCATCCATCTCACCAGCGTTACGGATACTCTCGTCATCAAGTATACCACCAGCCTAACCCGCAGTCGTTCCCCACCGCGTCAGCGGCGAGCAATGCGCTTGCAAACTCGTTCAGCTACACGTCCAACCATCAGTCGACCACCAACGGGCTTTCGCTAGCATCCACGCCCAAAACGACCGCTCCAGTGCCTTCCATGGCCTCCTACAGCACGCCCACAGTCCTCCCGACTGCCCACAGCCGGCGGAAACAGCCGGACTGGGGAGAGTTTTATAAGAACGGCGTCCCCAAGGAGATAATTGTTATTGACGACGACGATGATGACGATAATACAAACAACGATCCTGTGCCCGTCTCTGCTTCGGCGGTGACCTCATCCACCAGAACTGCACCCCGTGTTGCCCCTTCTGCCTCTTCTTCCAACCTGCCGGCAAACAAGAAACGAAGGACCGACGCCAGTTCAGGCGTCGACGTCTACTACGAACGCCCTGCCTACTCTGCCTCCTCCCAAAAGTACGGCGAGGGCTCGTCTGCGGCGCCTTCAATGTCGACCGACCGCACCGCCTCTATTCATACCACCGCTCCCACCTCACTTGGCTCGCAGGCTAGCGGTTCTGCAGCCAACAACGCCTACCTTGATGATGTCGCTGTCGGCCAGAAGCGGAAGCGAGTCGTGACACGTAAGGCTGCACGTGATGAATTGAAACGAAGAGAACTCGAGACCGTCGGCGATGCATTCAGCAGCTATATTCCTCCTCCAAAGCCGCCCATCAAGGCCAAAGATGTCGTTGTCCCCGTCATCCGTGATGTATGATCCCCCTTCCCCATCCTAGCCTGCATCATCGCATACCACATCAAAAACCATTACTAATGCCTTTTGGATAGTACAACGCGAATAAAAACCAGAAGATCGACGATGAAGATGGACATTACATCGTCAACCCGGACACCAATCTCACCGACAAATGTACGTCTCCCCGTTGATGCCCCTAGCCATATTTTCGCAGAACTAACAGTTCATTCCCCCCGGCTAGACTCAATTATCCGCCTTCTGGGCCAAGGCACATTTGGCAAGGTTGTGGAGGCATATGATAGACAAAGAAAGACTCGCTGTGCAGTGAAGATCATCAGATCGGTCCAGAAATACCGCGATGCCTCTCGGATCGAACTTCGAGTCCTCTCAACTCTCGCATCCAACGACGAGACTAATAGAAACCGGTGTATCCATCTTCGGGACTGTTTCGATTTCAGAAACCATATCTGCATCGTCACCGACTTGCTGGGCCAGAGCGTGTTTGATTTCCTAAAAGCAAACTCCTTCGTCCCATTCCCGAGCAGCCAGATCCAAAACTTCGCTAGACAACTCTTCACCAGCGTTGCCTGTAAGTGAAATCACCGTACCTACCGCTTAGATACACCTTTACTGACTCACTCTAGTTCTACACGATGTCAACCTTATACACACCGATTTGAAACCTGAAAATATTCTTCTCGTCAGCAATGCTTACCAGACGTTTACATATAACCGAACCATCCCATCTTCCTCTCACACAACCTCGAGGACTGCTCGGCAACGACGTGTCCTGCTCGACAGCGAGATTCGTCTAATAGACTTCGGTTCTGCGACTTTCGACGATGAATACCATTCCTCCGTGGTTTCGACTCGGCATTATCGTGCCCCTGAGATTATTCTCAATCTTGGATGGAGCTTCCCCTGCGATATCTGGAGTATAGGCTGTATCTTGGTCGAGTTCTTCACCGGAGATGCCCTCTTCCAGACACACGACAACCTCGAGCACCTCGCCATGATGGAGAGCGTTTGTGGTGGTAAAATAGACCCAAAACTTGTCAGACAAGTTCTACAAGGCCGTAACGGACACGGTGCCAATTCTGCTGCTAAGTATGTCGACCGCCTCTCCTCTGCCTAGAAATATTTTTATACTAATTATAACTCTTCTAGATATTTCAACCGCACCAAACTTGACTATCCAAATGAAGATACCTCCAGAGCGTCAAGAAAATACGTAAAAGCAATGAAACAACTTCACGTAAGTTTGCAGCAAATTGCTCAGGTTCTCACTAGACGATCACGCTAACAAACAGCCTGATAGGAATTTATTCCTGCAACAACTTCCTTTAACAAACAATTCCTTGACCTGCTTCGCCGCATCTTCGTCTATGACCCCAAAGTTCGCATTACTGCCAAAGAGGCCCTCAAGCACCCATGGTTCAAGGATACTATCATCGATGATGGTACTGAGGCAGTCCGTATCCGCCAGGAGCAGCAGCGTGGGGCCTGAGATGGCCTCATAAATCTCACAACTGCTTACACCGTTCCGCCTACCTATCTCTCTCAAACATATCAATGTTCATTTTTTACTCTTTATTACTAAATTTTTTTTCCTTCCTCTTATTCCTCGGAGCATTTGCCCATATAATTCTCGTGCCGGCTGATACCATATATTCCTCCCTCTAAATGCCAGACACTTACTCTCTCCTTCTTTCTCTCACTTTTTGGAAGGCGACTGTGTCAGTGAACTGTTATATCAGTTCAACGTCAGTAGCCTCTCTCTTCCACCTACTTAACCTTTGTCTTCTTGTTTATTACTTTTTATGTCACCTTAGACGCTATTTTTTGACCTTTCCTTCCCCCCCCCCCCCCCCCTCTCCACCTCTGTTGTACTTTTTTTTGTTGTTACTGTTGATTTTGTGTCAATTTCCTTGATGATTCGGCGATGTTTGGTGCTCTTACATCTACGCCAAATACTCTTTGTCCTTTCATGATCCGGGAAATATGACCGCTCTCCCTTTGGCGTTTATATTAGCTAGGTATGATGGGTGGTATGGGGAACGGGAGAGAGATACGAGGGCTGCGGTGGAGGACTTCAGTTTCCTTGTTTGAGGTGGGATTAATGAAGACGACTTTACTTTCATATTTTAAATATCTCCTTTTTTTGATTAAAAAAGAGTATATCTAACTATATATGCCATGCCTTGTTACGGGCACGTTATGCAAATACTGCGGTTGCCGAGTCCCATGGTGTCCTTTTTTCATTATAGACTTTAACGTGTGAGCGTCTTTTACCACAATTTCCTAGACGCGGTATTAAGGTTGTCTGGTAGGTATAATGAGGTATATCTTCGTCGATAGTTACAAGTAAGTCTGATTATACTTTATGCAAGAACGGAAGACCTGATAATCATAATGCTACGAGTTGAGTTTATGATCCACAGCTTATAAGATGTGATGAGGATTATCAAAGAACTCAAAGAGTGATGTGCACATCGGTAGATTGAATTTGACGGCTGAAACGACTGAAAAAGAACCGAAGTTATATAACGATAAATCCTTCTGTCCACCAGGGAGCCAAGGAAACCCATTCACAGCTGCATTCAACTATACCCTATCTTTATCCCTCCAAGTCTTCTTGTCAAGGCCGCTCAGGAGAAATGCCTATTTATGAATTAGTTATCTGAAAGTGATCCGCAATTACCTCCGAAGAATTAACCAGGCTATAGCACATACCAGGAGACAGGGAAAACTCCAGGGGAAGCATTGTTGGTCAAGGCATTCCATGGGCCAAGGGCAAAGTCAATATCTCCAGGTCCGCAAGTTGGACAGGTATCAGCCACAGTGACGGTAACAGTCTTTCCATTGCTGGTGTTCTTAGCAGATATACGTCTACCGCAGTAAGGGCTGTTAGGGCCTTTCATGTAATTGGGGCCTAGAGCAACGATGTAATCTCCGTCTCCGTGCACTGCGCCACAGGAGCCTGCTGCCCCCATCTGATAGTATATGGTTCCCCTCCCGGTCCTTCCAGCAATGATTAGACATTGGTGATCGAAGACAGAAGTCGGAGCTAACTCACGAATCAAGGGTAGTGGTAGGAGTAACTTTAGTCTGGATGTGGGCAGGGAGACCGGAGACGATGCCACAGATCGCGAGGAGAGAGAGCACATAAAAGGAGTTGACAGCCATGTTGATGGAGCTGGTAAAGGCTTTGGTTTATCGAGTGAGGGAAGTAATGGTGATGATAATGGTGCGGGTGGTTCTCAACGCTTCAAAATCAGCATATGTCCTTGGAATCCATTGCCCCTTTTATATTTCAACCTATTCCATGTTATCGTAAAAGACCCCAGTGATTCCATCACGTTAGACCAATACTTGCTGTGATATCCCCCTGCCAAAAGGTGATTGCATCCGGCTGGCTTCATTGTTGAGGTAAATATTTCGGGATATCAGAGATGTTCCTCCGCGCCCATGACATGCATCATGAAGCCCACATGGCGAACAATTCACGCAATTACCAGGTCTTCAGCAACCGAGATGAGATGAAGCGCGACTGCCAAGCAAGAGAATTCATGACGGAGATGTAATGAGATATCATTTTCTAGCTCTGTATTTGGCATCGTACCCCACGGAGAGATCGAGTATTAGACGTGCATCCACGTTTTGTGACTTGAGATGGAATATCTAGGTCTGATCACCAATGAATAATTTGCATGGGCTGTTGGGAACTGGGTTCATACGATAATCCCTTTGTCTATTTGCTGCAGGGCAAAGAACATATTCAAGAACCAATTTCTTGACCTTGCTTCCGAGTTGTACTCGATCGTCACTCGCGCGACTGTGCCTTGCCACACAATTGTCTGGAGAAATATAGCGGACAGATTTTTGTAGATGGGAGATACTAGGAGGAGGCACCGTTAAGGGATATATAGTCTAATGGCCATGGTGGAGAGTGTGTGACAATTGGTATGTAGTTGTATGTATATCTGGTGTCTGTATACCCATCGATTTATCACAGGACTGTATGGTAAGGAATGGGTACTTATCCAACAACTGAGGATGGTATTGGGTTGGATCATATAACCGCCCACCGGCTGCAAGATATCACACATGTTGAAGAGCAATGTACATATTAGCAGCCAGAAGAAGCCTTGTACTGTTGTCCTTATCCGATAAAATTTCTTTCTGGCCTAGAACTGTAGGTTATTGCAATAACCGACATACTTCGGACCCTGGTCCCAGTCGGCGAAGTCGGGGTTTAGGCCGATGGGGATATACCCTGTGGATTCCAAAACACGTTACTAGGGTCAAGTCGCGCTTTGATTTTCCGTAGTCGAGGTAGGTTATCTCCCCAATATAGCTTCTGTGCTGTATTGCCGTCCAGTTGGGTGTCGATAGAATTGGCATACATGCCCCAATCTCCGTCTGCCATGGACTGTGTAACACTATCCGTGATTTGCTTGAGGAATACGAAACTCTCACGGGGTAATTTTCCATTCTCTCCAAAAGCATTGAGCTGCCAGAGAAGGACCTTGTCACGCTGGGCATAAGATGTAGCGGCTAAGTCAGTCTGAGAAACCGCTGACTTTGGGCCACCGTGCAACTCAAAAAGTACATCCCATGAATGACGTGCATTAGTGTCATTAATGTTGGTAAAGAGGGTCGATACTAACGCATTAATCTGCTCGTCAGTCAGTGGGGGAGTTGTGAGGCTGCTCGTATACGTTGTTGTATGCTAAGATTGTGTTAGTACTACAATGCCCTATTGCTGAAAGTATAATCCTTTGTATCGACGGACATACCACATTGTATGGTTGCGGCCGGACCAATGGTTCACCTTCTGCAAAATACTCTAGTCCTTCCAGCCAATCGACAGATTTAATATCAGACAATTGTGTTTTGAGATTTGTCAAGAGGGGTTGCAGTGCTTGAACGAGTCCATGCTCATCGCCGAAGTACAACCCGCGAATGGCCTGGCTAGATGCGGTCACATCAAAGGCAAGGTTAAGCTCCTCCCGAGCCGTCAATGAAAGACTCTGCACTGCCTTCAGGGATTCAGCCACGCCTGATTCGCTCCAGGGCATGTCGATGGCGAAAACAGTGACATTCTCTGGCGGCATGAATGTGTCAAACTCGAATTCAGTGACGATGCCAAAGGATGACCCAGCACCTCGTATTGCCCAGAAGAGATCTGTATTGTCTGTCGCAGAGCAATATGCTATGGAACCGTCAGATAGAATCACCTTGGCGCTCTTTAACCAGTCTAGAGTAAGGCCGTGAGTGCGTGAAGCCCTGCCGTATCCGCCGTGCAAGACATGTCCGGAGATACCAACTCTGCTACGGTTAGCTACAGCCTTCAAATTAATCCCACTTCATTTCTTTCATCCAAGAGGAATAGTTAACATACCCAGGGCAGGTTCCGTGGGGAATTGCTCTCCGGCCTTGGTTGAACAATTCCACAGAGACGTGTCCCAGCCGTGCTCCAGGCTGGATGATAGCAGTGTGGTTATCAGAAAGGATTACCTGGTCCATCTGCTCGAAGTCAATAACAAGATGGCCATTTTCGCCCCCAAAACCATAGGACCCGGAGCTGTGACCGCCTCCTTTAGCGCTGATGCGCAATTGATGATTTATACCACATAGCACGGCAGCCTGAGCCTGCTCGATACTACCCGGAATTGCAACAGCCGCCGGTGTATATCTCACGCGAATGTTCCAGGGCGATGTCCTTTGATTCCAATCCTTTGAACCTTCCACTACGTGCGAAACGCCGGCATCCGATAGGCATAATGATAGGGAGCGCGTGTCTCTCCTAGCGAGGAATATGATGACGGTAGCCGCGAGGACAACCCACAAAACAAATCCAATGGGCCGCCATAGACTGGTGCAACGTGTAGTATTGTTCCTGCGAGGCCGTGAGTGGACAGCCAGCAGCGGTGTCCTCTGATTGCTCTTGAGTGGCATATCAGAGAGCATAAGAATCAGAGGATGAGCGTGTGCTAGAATGAGAAACAGAGAAGTTCTGCTTGATGCAAGATTGTTGATCTCAATCTAGACTGGGCTAACTCTCTGCTTGGAGTACTTGCATCTAATACTCTCTGTTAGGTGGTTCGAGATATATATCTCCAGGCATTATGACCCTTTCTGTACGGGGTAAAAATTTTCGTCATTTGTTCGACTCAAAAATGAACAGATCAGCAAGAGGTTAGGGGCCTGGCGATCAGCGAGCTCCAGCCAACCAGTCTGCAGCCCGGGGCTGATTGCGATTGCATCCGCCAGCCACGCTGAGGTGTCACAGCCTATCGGGTATCTTCTCCTTGTAGATGATTGCCTAGGCTCGCCTTGCACATACTCCATACAGGCTTAAAGGTTAGTGAGGTTGGCGCGGAGAAAGTGTTACTATAAGCCCTAAGAGTCTGCACGATATAAATGTAGAGAAACGAATGTCAATACTTAAATAACTAACGGTTATAATTGATCGACGGGGAGAAACGCGAGGAGTTGCTACTTTAAGATAGCCAATCAGAGCGATCCATCCATCCGGCGGGCCGACATATAGCGGAATGGATAATATATTAGCCGTAAGTATCACGTGAATGCAAGTTGATGAATAATAGATACACTTGAACCTTAATGTTAAATTAACGTTATTCAAATGCAGGAGAGGACTATAAATTGAGAGAGACAGATGAGATGATTGAAGAGATGGGTATTTTATTTTGGCATTAGCTTGTACATGGGCATCTTGTCTCTCACCAACGATGATTATTTCCTTACCTCGCCCTCTTACTTCGTAGATTACCGAAATAAGTATTCCCTGATACAGCGTTGGCCCTGTAGTCGCTGGCTAGCATGGGAAGTTCGAGAACAAAGGCCCGATGAAATGTCAATGTTTTCAATATAGCCATGTTATATTAATACAGTAGAGATTGGTTACTCTATCCAAGTTTCCGGAACTCCCGTGCCTGTGGTAAAAATGGAAGAAACTCAAACTTGGACGGCTAACTTGAAGAGAAGTCGAGGGGGCTCATGAGCGAACTAAACAACCTGCTCACTCTTGATCGTGTTAGATCCGTTTGGAATAGCCTTGGCTGGCATGGCACTACCAGCTTTTGTATTCCACATGTCAGCAACGGTTTCAACCGCCCTCTCGACCACCACCCTAACACGGTCTCTTAACACCGGGTAGGAACATTCAACCTCGAGTGTCTCAAGCCAGACGCGAGCGATGTGGTTATCAACCTTGATTTCAACCCCCGGCACAGGTATGCCGAGAGACTGTAGACGGGCGAGCTCTAGCTCTTCCATTTCTCGGAGTTCCTCTTCGTCTTCAGGTTCATCGATGTCAGGAGTGTCGACCTTGCCTGCGTCCTCGGCTGTAGATGGAGATCTTTCCTTCCGACCTCCATGGTATTTCAATTTCGGGCGCTCGATGGGAGCAATTTCCGACCCAAACTGGGCCTCAAGGATCATACATAGACGCATAAAACGCTCGTCAGGAGTGAGCTGAGAATGAGGATTGCTTGGGAGTGGCGGCGCATGGTTATGGCACTGTTTATTTTTACTCGAACCTATTATCGTCAAATCAATGAATTTCTGCTGTTTTAGACGAACCAACCGGCATCGCAAAGGGGAATACTTGATACTCACGTTTAACAGCTGCGGGGCTACTTTCAACTGTGAGCAATACCGCCATAACAGCATCGGCAACACCGTCATTCATCATATTACCTTCCCATTCTACCTCAACTTCGCGCCGTTGTGGATTATATTTCACGAAGACACAACCCATTATTAGGTATGTGGTTAGTTCGCTAAAGGGTATCTCCTCGTCCGCTTCTTCACCTTTTTTGATTACCGAGTCATCCTGCGTTTCGCTTGAATCGCCATTAGAGCCCTTCACGGCTTCACTCGAAGGCGAGTTGATCTCTTCGATCAGACCGAAGGTACTCTCTAACGCCCAGCGTATAAGATCAATGCTTGCGGTGCTGAGGGTAATATACTGTTTGCAAGTAACCATTGTTGCAGTGAGTCCGGCATATTCTCTAAGGTCGTCAGAGGCCATCATCGATAATTTGAAGCCATTCTGGACGAGAACGCCGTCCATTAATCGAGAATCATCTTGGCCTATGGGTGGTGAAGTCTCTGCAAGCCGACCGACGACTCTGGCAACCTTGTCAACCATGAATGGGATGCGGACTTCATCACAGTTTGCAGGAGTGTAGACTTTGACCTTTACTTCTTTGTCTACATTCAAACTCAAAAGTTTAGATTTCAGCCTCATCATTTGGTGTTTCTCTCCATGAACAAGGATCTGTAGTGGTTATACATTAGCTTCAGGAACTAAATTCAAGATGCGTGTTAACTTACGACGACGGGAGCAGCGACTGATTCGATAAATTCCCTATTTTCCACACCGTCAACGTGGGCTGCAAAACTAATCTCGTCGACGGTACATCTTCGCTGAATCATGATTTTCTGATCATCACTAGGGCCTGCAGCATTCTTGGCGCTCATAACAGCTGGTATCTGTTCGGGCTCATTGATTATCTGTTTTCCCATGGTACCCTCAACGCTGTAACCTGTCATGATGACACCATTGCGCTCATTTGGTGCCCACCTCTCTAGAAGCTCTCTACTGGTTCCAGTTTGGAGCATACCAGGAGAAGCAAGCATTACGCACCCTCCAACATCTTCAAAACGGTCGAGGTTTCTTAGGCTTCGAACAAAACGGAAATCCCAGGGGCCAGCGGTGACGCTCTTGTCTCCTCTAGCTTCAGCCTCAGCCATGCGTTGGCGAAACAACCGCTTTATGTTCTCATTCATAGCTCCGATGTATGTTTGATACACAACCATACACCGACGAGCCATGTTTCCAATATAGTAAATGGGAACTTTCTGTAGTTCTGGGTGTCGGCTCCAGTACTCATCTAGGATCAAGAGTAGCTCTTGTGCTCGTCCAAGTGCAAAGACGGGCATGAGAACTCTTCCTCCCCGATTTATAATACTGGTAACTGATTTCATGAGGGCGGCTTCTCGCTCAAGGCGAGGGGGATTGGATGATATTCCGAAAGTAGACTCTGTGATCATGACATCTATTTTCACCCCCTTAGGGACTTCTGCTGAGATTAAGTGGCGGTCCTCTTCTCGAGAATAGTCGCCTGTGAATAGAATATTCAGTCCGGCAATGGATATGAGGAACATGGCGGCGCCAAGCACATGGCCAGCCGGGAACGGAGTAATTCTGATACTGTTGATGGTGTGGGTGGTGTTGAAGTCGATCGTTTCAATGATGGGGAGGGTTGAAAGATGATCATGTTCATTGTAGAGACTTGTCCGTTGATCGGAGGAGGAGGATGTATTGCTGACTCGGACATTATCCTGTATCAGCCATTTGTAGATCGCCTTGGTGGCATGGGTCATGAAGACTCTGCCTTTGAAATTTGTCTTGCTAAGGACATAGGGCAGCGACCCAGAGTGGTCCAAATGAAAACTGCCATCAGTTAGCTGCCTGATCTCGCCTAGGGTTGTGGAAATATTGTGCAAGGGGAATGAAATTAACAATGCAGTAGAGGACGAATACATTGGGATACGAGGGCAGACACCATATTGTCGAGGCTAATAAAAATTTGAATTGCATTGAATATCTCATAGTACATGTTTGAACATGGAGGAAAGGCAGTGAAAAGAAAGTTTGTATATCTGTTTGTATATCCATCTGCGCATGGCTGACAAGGGGGGTTGTTGCACTAATAACCCGGACATGGAGGGGAGGATGGACGTACTGGCTTATTAAAAGAATATCGACGGTACTGAGGTCGAAGTCATCGAAGAAAGGGAGTGCTGCAAATCCATCTTTCGCGGGGTGCATGCCAGCATCAAGCTGTCGATTTCATATATGCCATATTAGCCAGGCACAAGACCGCAAAAGATTCAAAACATAATGGAGAAACGAACCATAACCGTCTTCCCCTTGTACTGTATAATGTGACAAGAACGCCCGACCTCATTGCCGCCTCCTAGACAGTGGAATAGAAGCTCGTCAGAGGGATCTATTTGCTGCTCGTCCGCGCTCCCTGAAAACGAGCCCTTTCGTTTCGTAGCCATCCTTGCGGGCCGTATTTATCTCTGCATCAGCGTCTAGCTAGCCTATCCGTGACCAGGCAACCACCAAGCCGGACTTCAGGCCGGTCTATCTTTTCCCACACGCCCTTTTCAATGCAGCTGGCTTGATGTCGACTTGTCCGCCTGCTTCGTCCTTTTTTCTGCTTTGACATGGACCAGAATCGTCGTCTAGCTTATGTCATTGATGCTTATATAATTCATTATATAAGTTCTTAATAATATATGCTCACGTGACATCTCTTTTTGTCCTGCAAAGAAAAAACGCGAAAAATGACATCAAAAAGCGACGTCAGAGAATACAAGCAAAAGGACAGGCAGAAAGCACGACGACGAGATACGAAGGAAAAGCGAGTTGAGCGATAGTGAGCGTCCGGCTATTTACTACTTCGCTTCCGTTTGCGCTACAG